GTGGAAATGCTCCGATACATAGTTTAGTCCTGCACATCGGACACGATGCATCCATCTCTTTATCGTTGACAGCGAGCGTGTTGATCCAAGCCTGAAGGCATTGCTCGCCTATGTAATGGCCACAGATCGTCTTGACGGCTGGCTCCACATCATCTCGCTCAATTTGATCGGAGAAGCTGCGTCCGCAGATCTCACACTCTTCGAAACCAGCCTCTACTGCTTCGTCCGTGGCGTGTTCCGTAAAGCCTTGGACGTACTTCATATCCCCCATAGTCCTACCGATATCCATAATGTTAGCCGAAGGTTCACCCAGAGATTTCCACTCGAGGATAGTCAGATGGCCGATATGCAAGAACAAGGCCGACCATTCCTCGGATGAGGGTAGACATATGAGCTCATGTTCACATGGGGCCAACATCCACTTCTTGTCTTGTGGTAGAATCAGACGCTGCCGGGCTGGATCGTCTTGCCAAGTCCCCTGGCGTATGTAGCGTGGATAACCTCGGGCAGGGAATGTATCCAGGTTCCTCTCGGCTTTTTTCATCAGCCACAGTATGCGCGCGATCACAAATGTACGTCCGGTGCATTCTATATCGTGATCCGGATGGGCTGGAATATATGCAGTAGTATCGTAATCCGGTAGGGCAAATAGCTCCTTCCCCTCTTTGGCGTATCGGAGTTTGCGCTCGAGGCTGTGAAGTTGTCGTAATGACTTTAGATATTTGTCGATGAGAGCTTTGTTCCACTTCTCTTGTAGGGAAAGAATTGAACGGGGCTCTGTTAGATCCATTAGGATTGTCGTCTTCAATTTATGAATGTGGACGTCGCAAATCCGGATCGCGTTGGTAAACTGGTCGAGTATCTTGACGACATCTTCATATACAGACTTCAGCTGTGGCTGTGTCATTCCCTCGATGTTTGTTCGTTCGAGAAGGCGCTCGACTCCTGTATGTATCTTCTTACACTCATCAAATAGATTGCTTTTTAGAACCCGCAGAGATGCCTCACTTTCGTCTGCTGCTTTGAGGGACATTGCTGATTGTCCGTTCGTATGTACGGTTGAGGGTGGGTTTGGTGATCTGTGAGGAAGTCACTCCGAGGCACTGTTATTATACAGCAGATCTATCCCCAAGTAAATAGGCAGCAGTAGCAAACGATGGGGACTGAATCACTGTACCGTCTGTTCAATGACAATGTCAGCATTTTCCCAGTCGTCAGTCCTTCGAGGCGTAATTATACATTCACCTTACAGCAAACCACCCATATTTCAGCTGAACTTCACTCTCTTCGTCGCATGCTCCTTTGCAACCAACACCTCTTCCTCGAGGGTTTCACTTCAAACCAATCATCCCAGCTACATTGAGACTCACCAACGACGAAATGGCACACCAAAACGAATTAAAAGAAATTGAGCTCCAAGTCCCTGACCACTTCAAGGCCTGCGAAGCCCTCCTTATGCAGATCGACACCTTCCCCGAGGAATTCCTCAACGGTAAGTTGACCCCCGAAAACTTTCCTTCAGTTTGTCAGCGTAGCGCCAAGCTACTCGAAGATATGAAGGCTGCTCTGAGTGAAGCCAGGACCAAGGTCTCGGTGGAGAACAAGCATATGTGGGTAGAGCATTGGACTTGGATGCAGCTGTATGAGGAGGGCGTGGCGACTATGGAGCAAATCAACAACAAGCTACATGGTCCCGACAGGCGGGAGATGATATTGACGCAATTGATAGTTGTACGTGAGTCTGCAGACAGAACGACAGAGCTTCTAAAGCGCATGATGGCGGCGATGGATCAGAGGGAGAAGGAAGCTGCTTTGGCGCCGGTTCTGCGAGACGACAATTGATGTATGCTATTGCTTTATCAACTGAGCTCGTACTGGTAGTTGGCTAGATAGCGTGAAGTAGAGTTCTGACAAATCCAAAGTTCGGATCGTGACGATTGCGGAACCTTCATATCGCGGTGAATATACTCCGCAAACGTGCGTGACATGATGACCCAGGTACCATTGACAAATTGTTTCTAATCGTGTTCTTGGTGGGTGCGGTGTAATGACGAAGTCTTCACTTCAATCGTTCACTGATCATGAATATTGATTGTGGCGAAAGCGATCTCCCTCAGCCAGAGGCACAAATCCTTTTAACGTACCTCTGCAAATCAATATATACCCGGCTCGATACGACCGAAACTCCCAAAGCCCACAAACAGCCTTGGTACTGCCAAAAACCTTGCTCGTTCTCTAGACTACATCTCAGCACGTCGGGAGGCTGAACACCGCCATCAACCATGGACCCCAGGATAGTCATGATGATGCGACAGATGCAGCTGGAAATGCAGATGAGAGCGCAGTTGGAAGAAGCGCAAATGCAGGGCATGCCGCTAAGACAACGCCTGCAAATGGCGGAACAGCTGCGCATGAGAGCGATGATGATGATGGGAGCTCAGCGCGAGCAAATGATGGAGGCGCAACAAGAGCAGATGATGATGGCCGCATATCGACAACAGATGATGGCAGAGCAGATGCGCATGGGTGGCGGTGGTGCAGGAGGGCCGATGCCACCGGGCGGCATGCCTTTCCCGCGGGGCCCGATGTTTTTCCCAGGAGGTATGGGCGGGCCGGGTCCCGAACCTCGAAATCATCCGCGAACTGAGTCTCCGGACAATACTTCGGATGCCGACGGGCCTCGCGACGCTGGACCCGGTGGAGTGTCGCCAAGACGCGCTGGTGTTCGAAACGGACGACCTGGAGTTGTGTATGGAGACTGGGAGGTCGAGGAAGTAGAGGATGAGAAGTAGAGAAGCTCATGGTGTTGAGCACGCTATCTGCAAAGCTCTGCGCGATTGAGTCTGCCGTACCGCGCAAGGGCAGGGTTATGTGCCATTACTATAATGACCCAAGGCTTGCAGGTGTCCATGAAATCTTGATAATAGCCAATATACTCTTCATAAAGTTTTACCGTTGCAATTGTGTACGGCCATACCTGCGCAATTGGCCTCCGTGCACATGACAAATGGAAACTTGAACTGGCGACGGAGCTTGAAAATAGTGCACGAGTCTTTGGTCTTCCGCAGTGCTTCAAGTCGAAATCCATGGTTGCGGTCTCATTAAGCTCTGGGGGTGGGCTTTGCCGCGCCGCGAAGGATCAGAGGCTGTGATGATTACTGATAACTAAGGTGCCGCTGTGCCGTGGTAAAGTCGAGGCGTCAGAAGAAAAGCACGAGAGCAGTGCCTGCGACCAGGTCGCGATAGCTCCTGTTTCTACCCAATGTTCTTATTCCCATGTGGAAAGTAAATCGCGAAAGATCATTGTAACTGGTGTCGAACGACAGGTGGTACTGGAGGAGAGGATGGATTGCGCAAGGGGTTTGTAATCGTAAGTGGGGCCGCCGCCTTCTCCGCTTCCCAAAGAAGGAACAACCACCGCAAGCGGGCAGAATTGCCGATCTGGTACATCATCCCACAAGCTTACCCATCACCTATGTAGCCGACGCGATTATATAGCATTGAAATGAGGGCGATGCCATACATGACATCTCTGATACATTCTGACATCTAAAATGCATTCCGCGAACGGCCACACCAATGGTCACCAGCCGCCAATCGGACCTCGGCTATTCTCCGTCAAGCAACCACCATCACTGGACGAGTTCAAGAAACTTACAACGGAGTCTGTTCCCTGCCACTACCCACTAGCAAGCAAGATCGAAGCGAATGTGCCGATATATAATTTGCCCGACTACGCCTCGCTCTCCCCAGAACAACGCTCAGCATTACAGGATGAATTTTACCACATCCTACTTTCCGGACCAGGCGTGTTCGTCACCAAAGGTCTCTGCAAAGACGTATCTCTTCTTCAAAACGTAAACAACGTGTATGCAAACATCATTGCAGAAGAGAAGAAAGTGGCGGGCAAACGCGGCGACCACTTTGCTGGAGCCGGCGCGAACGATCGCATTTGGAACTCCGTTTCGAAACACTGCGAAAAAGACCCGGAGTCATTCGTGCAATACTACTCCAATCCATGGTTGCCGCTCATATCTGGAGCATGGCTCGGCCCGCACCACCGCCTCACAGCACAAGTCAACATTGTGAAGCCAGGCGCGAAGGCCCAGATTTCGCACAGAGACTACCACATTGGCTTCCAGGACAACGAATCTTGCGCGAAGTTTCCGAAGGCGATGCAAGTCGCGTCACAGTTCCTCACGCTGCAAGGAGCTGTCGCACACTCAGACATGCCAGTAGAGAGCGGGCCGACGCGATTGCTGCCGTTCAGCCAGAAGTTTGAAGAAGGATACATGGCATACCGCCTCCCTGAGTTCCAAGACTACTTCCTTGAGAAGTATGTATCTGTGCCACTGGAGATGGGCGACGGTCTCTTCTTCAACCCAGCGCTATTCCATGCCGCAGTTCAGAATGACTCCGCCGATGTCATGCGTTCTGCCAATCTGCTTCAGATCTCATCAGCCTTTGGTAAGCCGATGGAATCTATCGATACGCATGCACTGGTTGAGAAGACCTGGGATGAGTTATTGGCAATGTATAAACAGCATGGCCTAAGCGATGAGCTTAGGGCACTCGTCAGCGTTGTCGCTGAAGGGTACCCTTTTCCGACCAATCTTGATAGAAGGGTACCCGAGACGGCTGGTATGGCACCGGAGAGCGAGCAGGATGTTCTGATAAAGTCGCTCAAGGCCGGCTCTGAGAAGCAAACAGTGTTGGACACATTGACGAGGATGCGAGAAGAGTCGAAGGCTTGATCCTGTATTGTGTGTTCTCGCTGAAGCGTTCACATAGATGCGCGACATGACGTTCCAGCAACAATGCCTAAAATATGAACTCTATCAAACGCTGCACACTATTCCCCTGTGACACTGTACTTTCCATTTCGCAGACCCGGGCGTTGACCAGCGTTAACGATTACAGCAAACACCGGGAAGCTGCTTTAGTTTGTCGACACGTCTCGCTCCTCCAACGCCTGCCACTATCCCCAAGACGTAGAAACCATGACCTTTCCCATAGCGACCCTCCTTCATCCCGTCGTATCACAAGCCCTGGCCGACGCCGAACAAAAAGCGAAAAACGGGATTCTGGAGACTCTACCTGGACACAGAGATATGGCCTTACGACCCGAAGAGAACACCAGCGGCCCTCTCGTAGCCACTTCAACGTCTCCAAAACCGGCAGATGAAGTCAGCTTTCCACTACCCCTACTGTCTTCACCCACCAGTCCACCTCAAGATCCACACACACCCACTCACGTAGCCCTTACACCAGACGCCGAATTCCTGATCATCGAAGCCGAACTCGCAAACTGTCAATTGACACGAGAAGCGCTACAAAGACGCGAATCCGCACTCAAAGAACGCAAAGCAGAAATCGTACGGGAAACCAAAATGCGGCTTGACAAGGAGGTGCGAGATTTGACGGCGCAAGACCAAGAAGAGATCGACCAAGGACTGTTCATGCGCGATGTGCAGCGGAGAGTGGACACGAAGTTAAAGGGGGCAGGAACAGAAGATGAAGCTGCACCGGAGAAAGTGGACCAAGCAGCGCAAGTGGAAGAGAAGAAAACTGTCCCCATCAGTGCGCCAGAGCGGAGGAGACTTGCCCGTCTTGCACTGTTGAAGCAAGACCCTAGGCTAGGAAGATGATATTGATATGGATGCTTAACTACGTCTTCCGCGTCCATATGCTCATCATGCTAGTCATGTCACCCTGATATGTTGGTGCTCTCATACAAACATCTCTCCTAGTACGCCACTTAATCAAGGGTGAAGTACTCCGCGATCTCTGGGAAAAGCTTGCCCATCCTGTCCGCTGTGACTTTGTCCACCTTGAGGATCGGGTCGAGTTTGTACGTGAGCCACAGTATCTTCATGTTGAGACAGGTCATTGCGCGGGCTTGTACCGAGACTTCGCCTGTTGTCTTTTAGTAAGAATGAGGGTTATAGCGGAACTGCCTCACGTCGATGATCTGCAGCAGTGTTCTCGATGATCTTGTTTAGATCCATAATCTCGTCTTGCAACTTTGTGAGTTGCTGACTGTAGTGATAGTTTGCATCGCGCTCTGCTGTGGTAGGTGCGACTGGGTGCGCTGAAGAGGACATTGTGCGCAGATGGGTGTTGTTGGATGGACTGATTTGGGAGAAGAATCGAATGTAGTGCGCTGATGTTGCAGCAGGTTATCGTATCGCGTCAAAGACTCATATACCACTTCGAAGTCGTGCTCTAACACCGACACGAAGGCGGCAGAGGCTAGACAAAATGTGAACACTGGATGATTGATCACACAAACTCTTTTACTCCGCTGTACTGATTGACATGCTTGTGGGTGATATGGAGATGTTTGAACGTACTTCAAGTATAGCATCGCTGGCCGAGCAGCGTTCGCTCCATACTGGAATGCTCGCGTATTGATCAGTGTGCCGTCCAGCTATGCAAACACCCTCACGCTTCCATATCGCCATGTACGCATATATCCTCTTGCAATAATTATCATCGACAATTACCATCGCTTTACCACACTTCCTGCGCGACAAGCCTTGACATATATCCAGCGCCTCAGCATCACTCACTCGGCACATTACCGGATCCCCATCCTACCACATCAAACCATCACACTCAAGTCACCAAGAATGTCACACAACACCCCCGACAATCTGCTCAAGCTCGCCGCCGACCTGAACAAACTCGGTGGAGAACTCTGCGCCATCGGCGGCAAGCTAGCAACGGCCGCCACAACTCTTGAGCAAGAAGCTGCAAATGTTGCTCTTGCCAATGCGCAACGATGGGGCGTCGATGTACAGGTATGCATTCGCTAGGAACGGGTTGTCAGGGTCAGAGTACAGTTGATACTGACAACATGCGCAGGTCGCTGTGAGAGCTGGTCCGCATGGTCAGTGGGTGGGCCAAGGGAACGAGATCGTTGTTAATGGGGTGAAGAAGTAATGAGAGTTCTGAGTGAGGAATGCGGAGGAGGAGAGGGGAGAAGGGAGCCACGGCATGTGCATGTGGAAGCCGCGGGGATGAACATCAGTCAGGCACGATGGCGCGCACCGAGCTGTGTGATGCGGAAGGAGAAGCGGAGAGCGGCGACAACACTCCTTGTAGATCAGTGTAACATCATTCTCATTTCAAGCTCCTCTGGATCCTTTACAACCATCGTCATGTTGCATAGAAGCGAACGCATATTGTGGGTAAGACTTCTCCCCGCTTGTCGGTGATATTACCCCTCTTCACATCTTGAGGTTTAGCGCTGCAGAGATTTATCAGATCATCAGATAAGATGCGACACCGGACGTCCGAACAGCCACTCACAGCTCAAGATCAGCTCCGAACCATCTCCAGCCTATATCGCTCATGTAAACTTAATGTTGTACGCGTAGACATATTCGACGCGACTGGCTGCTTTGGAGCCAGAAATGGCGGTCTGTCTTCGGAGCGCGGATGCCCAGGTTCGGCGGTGGTGTGATTTCGCCCATGCCCGGAAGTTGACGAGCCAAGCTGCGGAGCTGGGCACGGGCGGACGTACATTCGGTATAATCCTGAAAAACTCATTTACGGAGAGCGGATATCTGAGGGTCGTCACATGCAGGCAGATATATGAATTGAAAGAGTATCATTTGACCCGTAGTTGGGTTCGTTGAAACGTGTAATCATTAGTCTAATTCCGGGCTGCAGTAGCCATGCGGTATGATACAAAATGCAAGAAAGTGAAGAGTGTGTAACCGTCCACTCGTCGTTATTCATAGCGACCGTCAAAACCCTCAAGTTGTGTTCTCGTTACGGATGAACGACCATGCGAAACAGGATACAGACACTCTCGCATATCAACGCCGCGGATTGCTGGCGGAACCGCTAAAGGTGGGGGTATCTGGCAAAGCAAAGACAGGAGGGCGCTATCAGTGGTCGATATTGTAGTGAGAGACTGCGTCCATCATGGCGTGATCCTCGGCCTTGGTCATGGGCGAGAAAGAAGCTCGGCGCCGTTCCTCGGCCTCTTCGATCAGCGGCGCATGTGGGCCGTCAGACGGGCGGGTCCTGAGAGGACGCTGGGCGTGTTGGAGGGTAGTGAGGATGCTGCTGGCGTCCAGCTCCATCGCGCTGTACATGCCGGGTTCCATAGTGAATGTGTCCCTGCGAGTGTCCTGGCGTCCGAAAGCCTGCGGAACAGGCTTTAGTTGGCGCCAGTCCATGGCATTCGGATCCGTCGAAACTCGACCATCAAGTAGCTTGAAGGCATCGCTACAACCGACTGTTCGCCCAGTACCCACAGGCGACGAAATGCCGGCGCTCATGTCTATGCTGGTCGATGCCTTGGGTTCCATAATATCGAGCGAGCTGCTCTTGCTTGAGTTGCGCCGTGAGCTCGAAGGGGTTTCCTCGCTCCGGAGCTGAGCGACTCGCTGACACCAGGCTCGCTGCTGGGGGTTTGACTGACAGTCGGCACAAGAGCCAGGTCCGGTCATGGCCATGTTGGGCTTCGCTTCTTCAGCTGAAGAACCACTCTTCATGCGCGTGAGTGAGATGCCCTCATCGGCGCTGTCAACACGAGCAGGGGGATCGCATATGCAAATGTCCTTTTGTCCCTCGCAGAAGCCACAGTCTGTAATCTTGTTGTCCTCCGTCGATGGTGCGAATGTAGATGCGCTCTTGAACTTGTTGGTGAAGTCGACTTCGAACTCGACGTGGGGATGCTTCTCTTGGTCGAGTTCTCCTTGGCCGCCGCGAAGTACTCCAGTCATGGACATGCCGTCCATACGAGCCGAGGCCTCGTCCGGGAGTTGCATATCATTGGTGAGGTCGGCGAGACAGGCGCAATGTTCAGGCGTGCAGCGATCGCATCCTGATTGCGTGCTCTCGAACGGTGCGTCGTGGCGTGCGCTACGGATTTGAACGAAGTTCGGCATGGGATGCATGGGAGCAAAGTCCTCCTCGTAGTTTGGCGTGCAAACGTCTTCGCCTGCTCTCACTTTCTGGTACATATTCCTCCACATAATTTTTTGGGCGTCACTTGTGCGTAGACGCTCTGTCAGTATCTGGATTTCTTGTGCTTGAGCCCGTGCTCGGTCTTCCAGAAGCTGTTTTTCCCGTAGCCATGTGTTGCGGGCATCGTTGAATTCCGTACTGGTCTGGTTGACCTGTTCGAGCAGCATTTGCACATTCTTCTGCTTGCGTTCACGGAAGTTGCGCTGTGAGATGCGGTTCTGGGCCTTGCGCTTGGTCTCGGGCTCCGCGGTGGCAGGCTTGCGGCCGGGCTTGGGTCGGGGCGGGATGGAATGTATCATGCTCGTAGGCCCCCCGCCCGACTGCGAGGGGCCATTGGCGTGCGTGTTGACGGACAACGTGGCGGCGACGTGAGGGCGTGGAGGGGACCTTGGTACGAGTTCTGGGTCGGTGTCAGTTGTTGAAGTGGGCAAGGGTCGATCACGCGGTTGGACAAGTCTGGCAGCCAACAGCCGCGGCGAACTGCTGGTACGCGGGACACGCGGAAAAAGCAATCACGTTACTCACGTCGGATGGAGCTGCGGCGGTCTTGTTCAAATTCGGCAGCGGTACAGAAGGTGCTTCCCGAGGACTCAGCAGGCGATGGCGCAGGACTGCAATCTGAGCCAGGTGTGGCGGCGTTGTTCGACGAGGCCATGTTGCGCGGCGGAGCGTAGGGTGCGTTCGGGATCTGGTTATCAGATGGAGATCCTGAGTTATCAGATCAGCAGGCGTCTTATCCCGAGCAAAGCCGAGTCCGGAGCGGAACGGATCAACTTACCGGCGGCGCTAGGGTCGACATCGTCGGACTTGCTGGGGAAGGGGAACGGGAGATACGCGTGGTACCCGTTTTCCGAAAAAGACTCGTACTCCATGATGGGCAATTATCTTAGAGATGTTAGAAATGTTAGCGAACAAGAATGAAAGAGATAGGCAGTCAGTCTTTATAAGGCATCTGTCTCGCTTAGCATTCGTTACTTCCCTTTTACCACCTGCAGTCACCCAGAGTTAGTCGCTACTATCATGAATTAACGGTCGCACGTGGTTTCCTCCCGAATTAATGCCTCACAAATATGATTGAACTAGGGTAGTCAGTGCAGTCAACCACGGCATGGTCCAGCCCCCACTCCAAGCATTTGAGCATATTTGCCAGGCCTCCCTTTTGCAATCTAGAATAACTGGCATTTGTTTCGGGCTTCACGTCACCCTAGGGAAAACTGAACACCTGGAGCCTACATCGCCTTCAGGTCAGCTACCTTGCATGTATTCATCTTGATGTAGTCTCCAGACATGTTCAAGTTCAGTCTGAGCTATTCAAAAGGTATCACTACAACTTACTCACATCATATGACCACATGGCTATGATCTTAGGCAGCAACACAATTAAATGACGAAAAATCTCATTGGAGACACATCCAGGGAGTACGTCACAGCAGCAAATGCAAAAGATAACCCCCTGTAAATCTGCAAGCATTCAGGCACGGAGAGCCGCACCGAGAGCACGCGAGACGATCGGCACAGTCCTGCTCTGAGAAACTGGAGACGAGTTACTGGCTACAGCTTTCACAGATCCACTTAGCGCTCTACGCCCTGGCGAAAACCATCAAATAACCCTGCAGACCCGTGGTTCTGGAGAGAAAGATCGAGTCACAGGAAATTCAGGGTGCATCGGCCATATGCCCAAGGCTTCAATCAGCAACTTGGTCTTTCAAATTGGTGATGCCGACCCGACTCATACTTGGAGGACGGCGCTCTCGCCGTCTTCGCGACTCAGTAGATCCTGAGACGATGGCGGATGCGGACAGGGCTGAGCAGTCTGAGATCCACATATCCCTAGGTACTTTATCGAAAATGCCGTCACGATCACGGTTTTACGAAGGAGAGATGTGAGCTAGCATGAATTATGAGATGAGGCTATCCTTAGCAGACACGTCCAGACTGATTCTTAGGCTCACGTCCTCCACCCCCAGAGAGATCATCATAGCGCGCCTCCGAAGTGTGTCATATATCGGTACGGCGCGGGCCGACGCGCGCCCCCATACAGTCAGCCATAACTGAATGAGTCGGGTACCTACGTTAATTGCAGATGCAGAAATTCCTCCGCCGCTGGTTTCCAATGCTCTTAGCGTTCCGACGTCATATCGTGGCTGATGTGGAATGGGCGTGCGGTGCCCATCAGAGGCCTGTCCGTCACTGCCGCAAGTACCCGCCTGACACTGTGCGCGCCTACCTCTAGATAGATGGACGCGAAACTGGCAGAATGTAGATTTTTATCGATTAGTACATTGAGTATCATCTTATAGGTTCAAAATCATCAAGATGATATTCACCATGTCGCAGTGACCAGTCCATACCATCACTGCCACAAATCGATACCACCCAAGGCTGCCACTTCCTCTAGTCTCAAGCTGGATGTTCGACAAGCCGTTCTCAAAGCAAATTCTCCTCGTCACGAGACAATTACTGATACAGGCCCGTGGGCCGGCTGCTCAGGCACCATACGATCTAGTCCGAGCTTCTAGAGCCGCAACACTAGCCATGTCCACAGTACTGATCAAATCGTCCCCTTGAAAAATCTCCTTTTCCAGTAGCGTCCCCGCAGGGTATCTGCACTCATCTCGCTCCTATGGAGAGCATGGGCTAGACTTGATCGTAGTTCGTGGAGGACTGATTACCTTGGTAGCATTCACCTTAGACTTTTAGATCCCGCTAGCGCCCGCTGCAGCCCTACGGGCCCCTGGCTCTTGAGCGACTGGACCAGGGTATAAAATCTGTCGTATCCCCATCTTATGAGCTGGAGCATTATCATTGGCCTCTGTGGAGGACGGGTCACATGATGAGGCGAAGAGGTCTTGGTGTGTCTGGGTGGGGCGATGCGCTGGGCTGCCTAGGCAGAATGTGCACGAGTTTCGATCAGTGACCGACGGTGGGCTGCGTAATAACGCGGAGCTGATCTCCGCTGGCTGTTCAGGCCGAGAAAGAGAAAGAGAGAGAAGACAGGAGTTGGAAAGGTGCGGATGGCGGTCGCGGCATCTGCGGCCTCTCGCTGTGGAGGATGGCCGCTGCACACCGGCATAAGAGCGTATTGCAACGCTGACAACATCGAACACAGCAGAAGGTGAGAGTGAGCATTTCTTATGGGTAATAAATCCAACATTACATTGCTAGGAAGACGCCGCGATACAGCTCTCCATCGTGAGCGTTTCAGTGCATCTCATCACGAAGCAGCATCGGCGTGCCTGCCCGCCCAAATTCACGCTCAAAGCACTCGCGGCGCATATGCAAACACCATCAACGCTAGACGCCGTTATGCCCATCCAGATTCAGTTCATAGCTTATGCGCTTGCTCTGAACACTACACTGCCACCGTGTCTCCATCTGATCGTCTCGCGGGCATTCATTACGTGAAGTGCGCGAGCGAGTGCTTGTTCCGAGTAACCCTTGCCATCGACCATCTCACGCTTGAGCGTCGACAGATTGACTTGCCAGCCAATGGGCATACGTCTTCGGAGTTCCTCTTCGACTTTGTTGACCTCGTCCATGAGCTCCTTTGAGCTCTGGCCCTCGCCCTGATTCACCGCGTCCATCGTAGACGCGAGGAAGAGACGAATGGCCTCATCGACGTGCGACTCGTCAGCGATAGGCGACAGCGATAATTTGGCCAGCGACTCGGTGATACGGATAATGGCTTCTAGTTGACGGACAGTAATGGGGATACTGGATCTTTGGTTTGCGTTGATCTCCGAAGCATGCACTTGCCGCCTGATGCTGACAAAGTGACTGGACAGCTTCTCCGCGGCCTCAGGCGAGAGACGCGGCGCGCACTTTTGTCGACAGTATGTGATGTAGCGCTTCATCTTCTCAATCGGAATCTCGGCTTGTACGGTCTCCTCGACACCTCGGCCACCCATTGCGATACCCATGACGTGCTTTGCTATTCGCTCGTCACGGCCGCGGTCGTGTTCGTCGCGCACAATGAAAATCATGTCGAAACGCGACAAGATGGTAGTCTGGAAGTCGATGTTCTCGCCGGGCGTCTTCATGTCGTCGTAACGACCGAAGATGGGGTTGGCGGCCGCTAGTACAGATGTTCGCGAGTTGAGAATTGTGGTAATACCTGCTTTGGCGATGGAGATAGTTTGTTGCTCCATAGCTTCGTGAATGGCTACTCGGTCTTCGTCACGCATCTTGTCGAACTCGTCAATGCATACCACGCCGCCGTCGGCCAGTACCATAGCACCACCTTCGAGGTAGAACTCTCGTGTGTTGTGGTCGCGCTGCACAGACGCTGTCAAACCAGCTGCTGAAGATCCCTTTCCGGAGGTATAGATGGCGATGGGTGACACTTTCTCGACGAATTTCAAGAGTTGCGATTTGGCGGTACCGGGGTCACCGAGGAGTAGTACGTTGATGTCTCCACGCAGCTTCATCCCGTCTGGCAAGATCTTCTTTGCGCCACCCATCAGTAAGCAAGCGATAGCCTTCTTGATGTCCTGGTTTCCGTAGATAGAGGGTGCGATGCAGCGCGCGAAAACTTCGTAGATGTCGGGCCTCCTGCTCATCTCCAGGAATTCTTGTTCCTCCTCCTCGGTAAAGACAGCGTTGCCTTTGCTGCCGTGGTCCACCTCAGCGTGTATGCCGACAGCGCGTATGTATGGGTTGCGAATGGCTACTGCGGCGTTGCCTGCACGCCTCGAGCCCTTCTGCTGGTAGATAGAGAAGACACCCATCACGGAGCACCGTGTACCCGGAACGACGCGATTCGCCAGATAGCGGTCTGCGGAGATCATGATGTGTCGGGGTAGCTCACCGACCGGGACCTGATCGGGCGCTTCTTGCAGCTTGAGCACCTGCTGGTCAATGAACTGGCAGCGCTCGTGCATGACATAGTAGGGGTCCAGTGGGCATTGTTCGCCCTGCTCGCCCTCTCCCTTCTTTCTACCACATGTCCTTGGGAGGGAAACACCGGAGAAACCACCCGATACGGGAAGGATCTCTTCATGCTGGCAATTCCTGCATCGTATAGCGAGCGCGGTAGATTTGGACGAAAGTGTAGACGCGCCGATGATGATACCGGGTATACGGACGAGTTGCGAGACGTTGGTCGCGGTCAGGTCGCGGATGGAGAGTTCTGAAGCGTTCGAGTGGAGGAGCAGCTGGTGTTCTGGGAGCTGGATGTTCTTTTGTGAGGGGTAGACGATGCGCTGTGTGCACGTCTTCAATGCCGACTCGAACTGGGAGCCATTAGCATGCGCATGCGATTTCAGAGTGTGCAACGTACGAGGGGTATAATCTCTGCTGGGTTCTGTCTGAGATCATGCGCAAGCTCTGGGCTGTAGCTGATCAGATGCGCGACGTCAATGTCGCAGTAGTATTGCTTCAAGAGAACGTTCTCACGAATTTGATCTCTGCAAACGGTTAGACGACTGCATATGGCATGTGCGACTGCCTGTCATACCTGTAGACGAAGATATTGTCGAGGGTAAAGTCCATAATAAAGTCGACAAGCGCTTGGTGCACGCGCGAGGGCGCAGCTGCATCCCCGGGGCCGTCGCCGGCTTGACTGCCGAAGAGGCTGATTGAGAAAGGAGTCTGTCTGTCCGCCATTATGTGTATCGTGCGTATCGTCAGTCGTAATGGTGGTTGTAGAGGGGCAAACACACGCTGTCGCTAGGGGGACAAGGACCAGACGCGCTTTCCTCGCGATTTCGCGCTAGGCCCGCGCGCCTTCCATTTTACACCTGTCTTTGGCCTAGCGCACCCCTCGAAGACCCCCGGAGCCTACAACCCTTCTTCGTCCTTCAACGCATGCTGGCTGCGACAGCCAGGAGAATACGCCATAACTTGTGACCATAGAATTGTAAGTCGAAGGATGGTTTTACGAACCACCTGTGTCACGCTCTTGACGCATATCTACTGCCGCCCGCACTTTCGTCAACCGCAAGGATTTTGTCGCGTCTTTTTCCGCCATCGAAAGTGTACATCGTTCAATCTCTCAAGCATACGATCCTAGATAGAGAAGATGATTCGTCTTTGCTATCGCTCCCAGCTAGGCGATCCTACCAGGTACGAGCACGATGCTCACCACGTGAACTCGAAGTTCATCATCTGGTTCGCCTTCGTATCCATCCTCATCTTACCACCAGGTACTCCCTGAATCGCCCCAGAGCTAGCCGTAACAACATCTCCAGCTACCGTAGTGTTCCCCGACCCAGCATCATACTTGACCACCAAACTACCACCAACCCGACTCATCATCTTCATCTTGCTAATTCTGCCATCGACCCACTCCAAATCGAATACGAAGCCACCTCTGGAAACAAGACCAGACACGCTTCCCGAACTCCATTGCTCAGGTAACACGGGTAGAAGCCATACCTCCCGTACACCCTCTTCGTCCACGATGTGCGACTGAAGTAGCGCTTCCGCCACACCACTCACGAAGCCCAGATTGCCGTCGATCTGGAACACGCCCTCGTTAACATCCATCAGGTTATTGTACACACTGGTGTTGAAGAACTGATAAACATTCTCAGCCAGCGCTGTCCGGTTTTGCAACCGTGCGTACCAGTTAATCGTCCATGCACGCGACCATCCCGTGCCAGCGCCGTTGTGAGAGAGACGATCCTCTAGAGTAGCCGATGCGGCGTTGAAGAGTTTGGCGTCGTAGCCTGGCGCACCTGGTGGGAAGATCTGCGTGCCTGGATAAAGTGCGTATAAGTGGCTCACGTGGCGATGGCCTGGTTCTGCTTGCTCGTAGTCCTGCATCCACTCCTGGAGAGTGCCAGGGTAGCGCGTTGAGTAACGGTATGGCGGAAGTTTCGCTTGGGTGTCTCGAACTCGTTGCAAGAACGACGAGTCCACGGTGACGTTGTTGAGAGTGGAGACCGCACGGAGGTAGTTCGTGAAAAGCTCGTTGAGGATTTCGATATCGCAAGTTGGCGCAATGTCGAAATAGTACGTCTTACCATCTGCAGCAATGTAACTGTTCTCCGGGGACACAGAAGGATTAGTGACGAGATATTCCGTCCCATTGATGCTGTATGGCTGTAGTGTATCCAAATAAAACTCAATAGCCCCGGACACTATATCAAGCCTCGAGGCTAAAGAGTCCTTGTCGCCTGTATACCAGTAATGCTCAAGTATATGGGTAACAAGCCAGCCAGACGACAATGTCCAATAGGTAGCCGGAAGATAGCGATCCACAGGCGCGGTGTCACCCCATAGATCGGTGTTGTGGTGGGACATCCATCCGGAGGCATTATACATCTTCTTGGAAGTGCGCATGCCGTCCTTTCGCATAAGATCCAGATGATCAAACAAAGGTGTGTGCAAGCTCGACAGACTGGTGACTTCCGCGGGCCAATAGTTCATCTGGAGGTTGATGTTGACGGTATACTTGGAGCCCCATTGCGGCATGAATTCTTTGTTCCAGATGCCTTGGAGATTGGACGGTAAATTGCCAATGCGCGACGATGCGATCAACAGGTAGCGGCCATAGTTGTATCCTAGAGCAGTCAGCCCTGGGTCAACGGCTCCTTCGCGTGTTGCGTTGATGCGCGCGTCCGTTGGAAGGCTACTAGCGTTTACGTCGGATCCGGTGAACTCTAGGATGCTGGAATTAAACAATGGAGCATAATCTTCGATGTGGCGCTGTCGAAGTTCAGCATATGTGTATTGACGAGCTCGCTCGATAGTGTTGTCTACAGCCATGCGCGTGTCGTTGGCACGGTAAGAAGTGGAAGCCGCAAAGTAAGCCGTTGCTTCCGTGGCATTGTCGACGACGATGAATTCGCCAAGCGTCTTCATGTTGCCATCGGTATTAACTGCCAAAGCGGATGTGAAGATAATGGGATCAAAACCGCCAGTCCCTCCAGTCATGTACGCAACTCCGTTCACATTCCAGTCCTGATCTGACGCCTCATTCAAGCCGTCCTGTGGTCTGTGTACGCGTATCTGGAATGAGAGTTTCTGAGGTCCGGTGACTTGTAGATGATGTACAAGTACGTCGTCTGGGGTTGACACGAACATCTCGCGCTCGTATAGCGTATCATTGACACTGAATTTGACCCCTGCCGTTGCCGTTTCGAGATCAAGCCATCGTTCGTAAGTCGTATTGTCGTAGTCGCTAGTACCATCAAAGTAGACTTCCATTTCTCCCAGCGGTTGGTAGTTCCTAACGCTTTGGGGCGTGCCCATCATACCCAGATTCGCCAGCTTTTCCGCATCGCCTGCCTGATCTCGTGCGAGCAAGTCTCTTACATCCGAAAGCGTCTGGGACGCGTTTTGGTTCACACGATCTCGAGGGCCACCAGACCAGATGGTCTCTTCGTTGAGCTGTATGCGCTCTTGTACGGGTATTCCGAATACCATGGCACCGAGGCGCCCATTTCCGATTGGGAGTGCGTCTGTCCAGGCATCAGAAGCGGCGGGCGCTGTGTACCAAAGGCGTGCATCGCTTGCTGCTACCAGGGGAATGAGCCCTGAAGCGACTGTCAAGGTCGCTAGAGTTAGCATCTGGACTAATTCCTGCTTCTGTAAGTCCTGAGCTCCTGATGGTGGGCTGAGAAGGCTGAGGATACCAGGAAAACACTACGACTATGTACCTGGGATCATCGCTTCAGCCCTGCGTGGTTGTAGCTTCTCATTGATGGACGATAACATGCCTGTCCACTGCGAATCCCATTCTGGGTATAGCGCGCGATCCCCGCATTCCACACTCAGTTCACACTTTTCGCTTTGCAGATCTTGTACTCATTGCCTGATGTCTTGCATGGTCTCGCATGCCGAGTAGCTTCGCCTACAATTCCTGGCCCGGAGAAGATCCGTAGAACACCCTGTCGCATTTAGCCTCGGAAAATAAGACATGCATCATGATGTCGTCTCGCTGCAACCAAAGCATGTAGCAATACGAGCGGTACATTGCCCCGCGTTTATGTCCAACGTCCAAGTACGGGGCAAGCTTCTCGGTTGTTTAGGAAGTGATTTGGTCGCGAGTGACGTAACGCGGATCTAAAGCTACACCAGTGGTGGGTAGCTTTTGTGTCGCATTTCGCAGCACACATGTCACTACGAGTTAATAAGTAAGCACCTCCTAAGTCGATGTATACGTCTAGCTTAGATATGATTGTTGTAAATTGCGACATGAATCATAGCCATCCTTAGTAGCTAGGCCATGTGCTGGAACGCATTGCTAGCCGTAGCTGTATGCATTGCTGAGGTGTTGAGTCTAGGCTTGCGTAGCAATCTTGCAAGCGGGATTTTGCTGATTTGAACCCGTGAAAGATCAAACGATTTTGAAGGGAGTGAGGTCCTCTAGACCAAGTGCAGATCGGTCAGGACAAGTGCGAACGAGCCGAGGAACGTGACAGTCGCCCACTACGGTATACTCATGACAGAAGCGAGAAGGAAGATCGATAAAAGGCGGCGCATGATCAAAGCCAGGATCGAGCTCTACTTCGTGCTGAAGCGGTATTGAAGCGCTCTCATATTGTGGACGCAGGGCAGTGAAGCTAGGACTGTCAGGAATCCGAAGCAGAACATCACCGGCTTTTATCCCCTCTGGCCCCATACCAATAGCGCCGCCTGCAGTTATGAAGCATGTTCTGCCAATCATGGTTTTGTTAGACTCAGTAATGAATCTTTCCACAAATTTCGGCGGTCGCTCGTCACTACTTGAACTTGAACCCAGATACCGAACAAGTGTAGCATGCTGGTCAGATGACAGTCTCTGAAGATCGCCTCGTGAACGTGTGAGCGCCTTCAGTAGATCGAGCTCTGGAATGTTCTCGGCAATCGAAGATTCACTATTGTGAGTACTGCAGAGTCGCACCCAAGCCCCCAACGTGTGAGGCGTGCTTACTCTTGCAACCTCGTCCATTTGCTTTGCCATGACGTTCAAGGTGTTTCCGTCGCGCATGATTAATTGGTTCCATTGGATCTTGGATTTGTAGGCACTGTCGAAACTGCGATTAGTGTTTGGTTGGTAGATAGACTGCGCACGCCAGTCAGGCGTCCAGGAGGGTAGGAACTTCGACGATGTGGGATGAGCGCCGGCAACACTCAACAGAATCGACGGATGCTGTATAGCTTCCAAGCGGGCGAAATCCATGTAGAGTTCCTCGGCAGTCATATGGTAGCTGATGGGTAGCGAAGTTACACTGAGACTGGCCAGGGCGTAAAGTATATCGCGATCATCTGAGCACTTTGCGGCAGGAAAGCTGAGCAGGAGATTCATCAGCCCCCTGGGAAGAAATTGTCCTCGACTTGATGTTTGTAGATTTGCCATGGCACGGAGGCGGTCGACCACTACTCTGTCCTCGGGGGTGAATGCAGTTGAAGCAGCCTCGGCTGACCGCTGTAGGCGTTCAATGCGACGCACGAATTCTTGGAATTCGATCTTTTTTATGCCATGCCTCAATATCGCTTCTGATGCGAGTCCAGCTTCTTGGATAATCCATCGACGATGGAACCAGGGGAGTTTGAGGAGACCCAGAGAAGGCTCAAGTCCGGCCTTGTGGAAACTGAACTTAATACGGCGATTCTCGGTGTAGGAGTGCGTCAAGTGCCCGCTGTTTTGCAGTGGCCCCAGCCAGATCACAACACGGCTAGCATCCGCATATATGGCTCCCATCTGTTTGACTTGGCTCTCTTTCTCTTCCAAATCGGCTTGATTGATCGACAGTGAATCAATCCACAATAGTCGATCGCTTGATGATATTCGCAGATACCGCAGCATTTCAGCCACATTTTGGCGCACTCGAAGTGACTGGACGTCTCCATCCTCTCCAATGATGGATATTGTCTCGGTCGACATGTCAGTACCCCAAGCGTATGATACCGCCACGTACTTCGGTTTCGAAAGGGGTGGTCTAGTGGCTTCTGACGCATCTTCTCTGCGTCGCGCCCGGTAACTTGCAGATTGCTCATCGAATTTCGCCTTCGCAACCTCATAGGCGTGGGTCTGGCGTTGCGCATGATGTGTATCCGTACGCGACTGCCCGAGATCGCGATTTGCAAATTGCTGAAACGATTTGCAGGCTTCTAACTCGTCGCGTGCAGTTGCTAATTCGCCTCGGGCCTCGTGATAAGCAGCGTCAAGGTCGAACCTTAATTTGGCAGCTGGTGACAGCCATACGTGGTGCTCTATGTCGATCTGAATTGGGGCTTCGAATTGCGCAGCTGCAGCAGCTGGAGCTGCGTGAAGACGAAGAAGCCTTATATCACTGGGGTGCTCTAGTGGCCTGTAGAGGTAGGGCCCCATTGTGCGTGCAGTGCGACGAGGAGCAGTTATTCGAAGAGCGTCAATTTCAAGACTCGATAGCTCAGGTTAGGTTTGTGCGCGTCAGAAGCTGTGCACGTCGCGAGGTGCATGATGGCAAGGACATACCGCGAACGTGCGGGTGGTGGCTCGGCAACAACGCGTTCCTGCCCGGAATAAACACCCAAACACGTCATTACAAAGACACAACATAAAAAAAAAAATAGAGTACGCCTTTAACTTAGACTATAGTCTAGTTTTTAGTTAAGCTAAGTTTTTAAAATAGTACTTTAGTATATAGTATAATTATAATAGCTTTAATATTATTTACTAAAGTATTTAGTATATTACTATAGTACTATAGTTATTAATAAAGCTAATAATTTAAAAAAATACTATTAGTTAAAAAAATACTAGTAACTTTTAAAAAAATATTTTTTAGTTATAATAAGTTAAAAATTTTTAAGTATAATAGTATATAAAGCTACTTATATACTACTAATTTTTTTTTATTTTTTTATATAATACTTATACTATAATATTAACTTTAATACTAACTTTTATAATTTTAAGTACTTTTATAATAGCTAAAGTTATACTTAAGCTAGTACTTTTAAAGCTATAAGCTAATAATACTAAGTTTTTAATTTATTAGTAAACTAATAATTCTATAGTAGAAGCTAGTCTAAAAAAAGTAAAGTCTATTACTAGTATATAAAAAGACGTATTTTAAAAAAGTTAAAATCTTATATTTAGAGGTGCAGGCGTTAGGTAGACTAAGGCTTAAGTTCTTAGTACTACTACTTCTAGTATAGTAGTTAAAGCTTTTAAAATTTAAAGTAGTAAGGTAACTATTTTATAAATACTAATGTCTACTTATAGTAGAGAGAATTATAATATAATTATATATTTTTAATAGCTTATAACTAACTAAGCTATAAATTATAAAGTAATAAAATACTAAAATCTTAGCTTATAAAATTATGCTTCTACTATATATATACTCTCTATCTCTATTTTTATCTTTATTTTTATTTTATAGCTTATAGTAAAATTAGAGATTTAAAGACTTATTAAAGATATAAATAGTAGCTTAAATCTAATACTAAAAGCTACACTAGTATATTAAATAAGCTCTTAACTATATTCTCTTTTATAAGTTTTTCTAGTATTAGTAAGTCTAAAGCTAATCTTATTACTAGTTATATTACCTTACTACTTTACTAAAGCTTAATTAAGCCTCTTATTATTACTATATTAATTATTTTTCTTTTAAACGCGTTACTATCTTTATAAGTTTTCTTAAAGTTATTATTTTAGAAGCTATTATAAAAGCTATTATAAACTACTATATTTATACTATACTAAAGGCTATTATAAGCGCTTTAAAGAGCTACTTTACTAGTATAAAGCTATACGCTAGGCCTATTAATATTTTTATTACTTCTATTTTTATTACTCTTATTTTTATTATTTTTACTATTATAGACTAGCCTTAAAGTGTAGCTATAATAAGCGTTAGTAAAGATATTATATTTTTTAGAGAGAGAGCTTATAGTAAGCCTTACTTTATATATTAAGCTAAGGCTTAAGTAAAGTCTAAGCTTATTATATACTCTCTATAGTACTTATAAAATTCTATATAATTTTTTATTATAAGCTAAAAAATACTTTATATAGAACTAATACTTAAGAATAAAGCTAAGTATTCTTAACTATAATAGTAAAAGTAAAGTACTACGTAACTTTTATAGCTTAAAAGTAGTAATAATAAAATATAAAAAATAGCTTTTATAATAGGTTTTTTACGTAAATACTCTAAGAGTAGAATAAGTATATAATAACGCTACTATAGCTAGTACTAGAAAACTTTATAACTTATAGCGCGCGCACTATAGTAGTTATATATATAGATTATAGTAGTAAAGTGTATAGCTAGCGTACTTATATTACTAAGATACTATTAGCTAAGTAAGTCTATATAGAAATCTTTCTAAGCTATATATAATAATACGCTACTATATATATATTACTATAATATACTTATATAACTTTTACTATACTACTCTATTTATATTTTTACTACTTTAATTATACTTTATATTAGCGCTGTACTATTACTATAGTGTACTTAATAGTACTTAATAGTAGCTATAGCTTAGCCTTAGATAGGTAGCTTTCTAGACGCTTTTTAGATAATCTTCTTAGTAACTCTATACTAGGCTATAAAGCTAATAGTAGAATTATATATAAGAGATAGGCTATTAATAAGTTTAAAGTAGATAGTAATAGTAATAAGAAGAATCTTATTTTAGTAGAAATAGATCTTAATATACTATGTCTCTTTTATATTAAGTTTACTAAGAATTATAAAACTATTTAGCGCTATCTATATAGTAGAAATAAGTTTTAAGTCTAGAAGTTTACTATTATAGTACTACTAATATACTATTTAGAGATTACTTATTAAACCTACTTATATAAGAAGCTATACTATAAGCGTATTAATAACTTTTTTACTACTAATAAAAAGCTTTAAGTTTTTCTTTATTACTAGTTTAAACTAGTGTATTATAGTGTTAATAATAATAACTTTTATATTATAATAGCTAGTATAATTAGCGCTAGCATAAAGCTAAAAAGAGGCTAAAGAGCTATTTTTACGTCTGCCTTTAACTACTTAGCTAGAGTATTTTTTAAGCTTCTTAAAATAGTTTAGATCTAGAGCCTTATTATAACTTTAGTACCTCTTTATACTACTAAGTATTATAATAACTAAAGTAGTAGTAGTATAGAAGTCTAGCTAGCTCTATTAATACTTTCTTATAGTTATAGTAGTAACGCTATAGCTTTAGTTAATACTATTACGCGTAATATAAGTAAGATAATAGTATAAATATTAGTAGTTTAGTAGACCTAGAGTAATACTATTACTAACTTCTCTAATATTATAGTAAGTACTATTATAGTAAACTTTTAGCTTTACTTACTAACTTAAACTTTACTAAACTACTAGTACTACTAGCTAGTAGCGCTTTCTAGAGGCTATCTCTCTATTCTTATCTAAGTTCTATAGCTATTACTATTTACGCTCTTTATATTACTACTTCTACTTATATACTCTACTACACTATAACTATTTCTAAAAGTACTATAAAAGTAGTAGTTTTAGTAAGTACTATAGCTTACGCTAAAGTTACTATAAACGTTACTATAGCTATTTTAGTTCTTTTATATACTATCTCTATAATAGCGTATATAGTAGCTATTATAGTTACTCTAGGTCTAGGTTTTACTTACTATCTCTTTTAGAGAGGCACTACTAACGTAACTAGCTAGGCCTATTATAGTAGTATTAGAAAACTTAGTTAGAGCTAGATTTTTAGTAAGTAAAGCTATAAAGTTCTTACTTATAGAATATAGCGTAATCTTAGATTATAACTTTAGAATTTAGTTTAGTACTATTTTATTCTTATACTAGTTTCTAGTGTAAACCTTAGTTTACCTTTCTATCTCTTATTATAGATAAAGTCTAGCGCTTTTATAGTACTAGTAATAAAGAAAGCTTTTTTCTTTAAACTTATGTTACGCTATTATAATATTATATACTTTTATACTTTACTTTAAACTATACTAGCGCTACTATATTTAGAAAATTCTTTAAAGAATACTATAATAAGTTAGTATAGCTAACCTATTTTACTAGTACTTAATATTTACTATAACTCTACGCGCTCTTAGCTTATAGAATTTTCTCTACTTTAAATTTTTATAGCGCTAGGTTAGTTTCTTCTAATTCTAAAGTAGGCTCTAGCTAGAAATTAGTCTATACTTAGCTAGAGAGTAGGTCTTTAGTAGTCTTTTCTACTAAATCTATATAGATAGTTTTATAAAAATTACTAAGAAGATCTAATATAACTATAAGTAGTGTAAGTATAGTATTTACTATATACTTAACTTATAGCTAGTTAAGTTTACTACTTAGCTTATTTATCTTAATATTACGTATTAAGAACTAAATCTTATTACTAGATTAGAAATATTCTATAAAATATTAGCTATAATTAGTTACTTTCTACTAGTACTACTACTAAAACGTAATAGCTACCTACGCTAACTTAGCTCTACTATATAGATATTCTAGAAACTTTATAGCTAAGCTACTTAAAAAAGTATCTACTTTACTAAAAATTAGTATCTTTTATAATAGGTCTACTATTGTATAGGTATTAGAGAGTATAAAGATGTATTACTACAAGAACATAAAGTAGTTAGTATAGGTAAGAAAGTATGTAGACGTTAGTTTAGTAGAAAAGAGTTCTATTATAGAGAGATTCTATTGTCTAAAGTAATATATAAGAGTCTAATACTAAAAAGTATAAGTAAAAGATAAGATAGTAGATAATTAGATAATTCTAAAGAGCTCTTATTAAAAGACGTTCTCTCTCTAGGTAATTCTTAGGTTATTAAAGATCTAATTTATATAAGAATACCTTATACACTAGTATAAACTTTCTCTTTCTAGTAGTATAGTTCTATTATACTATCTAGAACGTGTTGCTTACTTATAGTATAAAGAAAAGATAAAGAAAAAATATAGAAAAGAAAGTAAAAAGCAAAATAAATAATTAAGTAGAGATGTTAGTAATGCACTACTATAGTGTAGGTAGTAGTTAGATTTTAGGTAAAACTAGAAGCTTACCTAAAATCTAAGAACTAGCAACGTTACTAGTACGTCTAGTCTACTTTACATTTTATCTACTATAACGTAGCTTAGATAGGCTAGTAGAAGAAGCTAATAAAGCTAGTGTTAGTATCTTAAACTAAGAAGAAAGCAGCAGAACTAGTAGTAGTAATATTATTAGAGAGCGCAAGGTGCTAGAGAGTAATAATAGACTAGACGCTAAACTACTAGCATAAGCCTAAAGAGTCTTAAATAGAGAGGTAGAAGTAAGTATAGTATTAAGGTTAGTAGCGTTATAGAAGTAATAGTAAATATCTAG